GGTGCGGCGGGGGCGGTGGAGGGAGCCTCTCCGGGCAACCTGCTCCACCAAGGTGAGACCAGGGGGGATGACACTGGCTGGTACCAGAGCCCTGTGGGGAGCCTCCTGTCCCTGCTCCACAGCAGCTGGTGCCCTGCACTGCTCTGCATAGAAAGTATCTTGCTTGTCTCTGCTGGTGTGTCTGATTCCTTGTGCCTCTCCCTTCTCCAAATGCCAACTGAAAAGGGTGCTTTGGATTTGCAGGTGAAAGCTGGTTCTGTGAAGCAGGAGTTTGAGAAGCAGGATGAACTGAAACGTTCTGCCATGAGGGCAGTTGCTGCTCTCCTGACCATCCCTGAAGTAGAGAAGAGCCCAGCAATGGCTGACTTTTCATCTCAGATCAGAGCCAGTCCCGAGATGGCATCACTTTTTGAGAGCATTCAGAAGGATTCTGCTTCCCTGCCCACCTCAGAGTCGATGGACATGAGCTAAGGTCTGCTCGTGCCACCACCCTCCTGCCCCAAGGGGAGGGATGATCCCAGGGGGACATCATCGAGCTGGACTCCACTGCAAGGGCTACTTGTAAGTCACCAAGTATGGCAGCAGGAAGGGCAGGGTCCAACTGCACCTGCTGAGCCCTGAAGAGATGTGAGAGGAGGGAGATACATCCTTACAGAGGGGAGGGCTGGAAGAAGAGTAATCTAGTTTTTCAGCAAGTTGTTACAGGGCTTAAGAGGAATCAAAATTGAATGTGGTTCTGAAATATTTCCTTACTACAGTACAAAGAAAAATAGTTTAAAATGTCTTTTTTTTTAAAATCACTGCACATGCACTTTCTGCCTCAATTGCCTGAAGATGTATTTGTTTCATCAGGTCTGTGCCTTGGCTGCCACAGGCTGTTTGGGAGAGGAGCCTGGCACTGGCCAAGTGCAGGAGCTGCACAGGGGCAGGCTGTTGCTTTCCACCTGGGCCCCAACCCAGCTGGTAGCTGTGTTTCTGTGGTGTTTGGGCAGCACAAAACTATCTTGCTTGACTTCTATTTTAATTGTTTTGACTGCAAAATACCTCAGCCGGCTGTCTTCCAGGAGAGGTGGTAACTCAGTTGTTACAGCACTAACCCTCACACTGAGCTCCCCTTTGCATGTCACACTGCTCCTCCCATGGGGCAAGTCGCTGAGCCCCCAGCAGCAGGGACCTGCACAGCCCTGGTCTCCAGGCAGGAAAGGCAGTGCTCAGCAGTGCCACAGAAGTGACAGCCAGAGGTGCAAGCACTAGCAGCCTGCACTAACCCTTCTGCCATCTGAACCTTCCTGTGGAGCAGCTGTCATGTTCAAATCCTGCTTTGTGTGGGGAAAAGAAGCCTTAAGAGAGAAGATGCAACAGCAGCTGGGAGAGCAAGGCTCCCAGGACATGCTTCTTGTGGCCATGGAGCTGTAACAAGCTTTATCTTTTGACAAGAATGCCTGATGTGAAAAGTATTTATAGTGCTGTGTGAGAGCATCCATTGTTGGGGTGGTATAAAGAATAAAAGATGTACCTGTGAGCCTGGCTGCACTCCTGAGCTCATTAGCTGTCCCAGTGACAGGTGCCCTGGGAGCTGTGCTCACACTCCTGCCACTCCCTGCAGCAGGTCCTGCCCCAGCACGGGCACCCAGGCCATGCCTGTCCCCTCAACCATTCAGAGCACCCACCCGAGTTGTTTTTTTCCACTTTATTAAATACATCTGGGATGCAGAGGTTGGTTTACTCGTTCTCCTCGCTGCGCAGTCTGGCGTTGGGGTTGGTGATCTTGATGGCCAGCTGGGCAGCTCTCTCCACGATCACCTTCCTGTTCTTGGAGGAGACGTTGTGAGCGATCTCTGCACAGAAGGACCTGCAGGACAGACTGTGTGTCAGGCCCAGGCCCCAAGTGTCACTGTGAGCAGCCCCCTGTGCCTGCCCCTGCCACCCTGCCTGAGGCAGCAGCTTGTCTCCAGAGCAGCCGGGCCCTCCCACTGGCATTATGTCCATGAGGAGTCAGTGTGAGGTATTTTCCATGGGGCTACTAGTTACTTTGCTGTGAAATCCAGCACCACAGCCTCCCACCCACGCCCCAACAGCCCCAGGACTGGGCCCTGCACTCACTTGTTGCTCATCATGAGCACCTCCAGCTCTTTGACGTTGTGGACCAGGAACTTCCTGAAGCCCGTGGGCAGCATGTGCTTCGTCTTCCTGCTGCTGCCGTAGCCGATGTTGGGCATCAGGATCTGGCCCTTGAAGCGCCGGCGGACGCGGTTGTCGATG